TCCTTAGATTTTAATCGATTCTAATCGACTTTTAAAATTTCCCGATGTGTTTACATGACTGGTAATCCTAAGAAAAGAAATTATAATTTTGATTATCATTTATCTATAGAAAGTAGAATTTCCATTTGACATTCACTGTGATTTTGTAAGTTATTTCATGTAATTTAATATCTCGTTTGCCAATTGATTCAATAAGTAAGTTTATTATTTGATTTTTTTTTAATTTTTTTTTTCTTTAGGCCACATATGAGACTCAATTTGGCTTTATTCAGCGCCCCACGCATTATAATACTTCATGGGACACGGCCAAATTTGAAGTTTGTGGTCATAAATTTGCAGATCTATCGGAGTATGGATATGGTGTTGCTTTATTGAATGACTGTAAATATGGTAAGTTAATATTTAATATATATTGGAAAACTTACAATAAACAACTACTCGAATTTGATTCATTGGACAGGCTATGCTACTCATGGAAATGTCATGCGTTTATCTCTGTTGAGGTCTCCCAAGGTTTGTGCTTTTCCTACGTTATCTAAGTAACTTAAGCACCTAATCTGCTACTATTAATAGGCACCAGATGATTATTGTGACATTGGAGCTCACGAATTCAAATATGCGCTGCTTCCACACACTGGGATCTTCTTAGAATCGAATGTTGTTCGTGAAGCGTATCAATTTAATGTTCCGTTACTTGTGAGGTTACTATACTGTATTTTCAAAATAATACTGGTTATTGATTTATTTTAAATTGTTCAAATATTCATTAATTACAATATTCATTAATTATTGTCATTTTCTAAAATAGGGCCACTTCTAAGGAAATAACTCTTTCACACGCTCCAAAATCATATTTCACAGTTGAAGGTGCGCCAAATGTTATTTTGGACACCATTAAGCGTGCAGAAGATTCAAATGATTTAGTTTTACGATTATATGAAGCTTATGGTGGACACGCTACAGCTAAATTACGAAGGTATGTGTGCCTATCTATTTAAAAGCCTTACGAGTTTATACTTGTATGCTATAAGTAACCAAAATCATCAAAATCATATTTCATTTGCATTATATATAGTTCACTTTTGTTTGAAAAACTTTGTGAAACAAATATTTTAGAAGACAAAGAAATTAGTATTGATTATCATTCAACTGAAGGAGCTATCATTAAATTCAAACCATTCCAATTTATTACACTAAAGGCAACTTTGAAGTAGGATGTGAATATTAAATTATATAAAATATAATATAACCTTTGCTTATTATAAATTTCATTACTATCCAAATTTATACATATTTGTCAATCCAATACCGTATTTAATTAGCATATTTATGCAATAATGCTACAAATTGTTTACTGACCAAAATAACCAATTATTTTTTAGTTGAAAATTTCTTATAGTTTGGCATACTTGTAATTAGCTTTTATTTATTGTATTAAAATACAATTTATTAAATTGAATGAAAGATATATAATTGAACTCAATTAGAGTTCAACAGTTGAATTCCTGCCCAAATGTCTCGATCTAATAATCCCAATTGGTACCGTATACAAGACCTGGGTCTGTTTCATTTTGTCAATTTTAAAACCTATTAAACCCGCAGAGATGTTAGTTGAATTACTGATTATTAGTACTTATCGTTATTCCTACATTTTATCCCTTATTGTCGCGAGTAATACAAACCAAAAAAGGAAAACCGATTTTGTGGGTTAGGGCCTATTATATGTAAAATTTCATTCCCGACATTTTTAATTAGTGCACCAAGGTCGATTTAAGCACTAGTTTTTGAGTATTTTCGCTTTTTTCATCTTTCGCACGTGTTCGGATTCTATGTCGGGCTGAGCCGGAATAGTCAAAATTTGCATTTTCTGATTGGTTATTTTCTTTTTAAAGAGATTGTATTACTCGCTAAAAAAAGTGCGTCCGGTTTGGGGCACGGAAAATTTTCGGGCATGCCCAGAGGACATGCCCGCCCTCAAAATTTTGTACGATGATTTGAGCTGGAGAGAAATTGTTTGAAGTTTTTGTATCAGATTGGTGTGCCTAGATTTGGGGTCCATGTACCCAGTGATGAGCATGGTGGACAAGCGTGGTAGTACAAACTTTCCAAACTTGAAATTTGTGACTCAGGACTAGAGGTGCAGGCGGAACTTGAAGCATTGGGATTTGCCGTAACGTAACTGAGTTATAACAAGTTATAACTTTTTG